CTCATCCTTTCCAGAAGTTCGTGTCTTTTTGCCGCCATCGATTTGAGCTCATCTTCATGCATTACCCGCAATGGCTCATCCACTTGACGTGCTCTCACTCCTAGTTTCTCTTCCGCTACCTTTTGCGCAACTTGAGCAACTGCCTCCCAGGTTTTCGGCTGTTCCCCCATCATTTGATGTTGCATCGCCTCCTCGAATTCAAACCTCCTCTGTTTGACTTCCTCGTCATTCCAGCGCCCATGTAATTTTTCTATGTTCACCTTTCTGGCTGTTTTCTTGTACACCTTTTTTTGTATTCTCTGTTACTATCGTCGCTTCCTTTGGCAGGTGGTCCGTACCCGGTGTGCACAATTGGACACCCTTTGTTCGCACTCTCTTCACCTTGGCTCTCTGGGAAAGGCGCCCCACAAAGCCGTCCAATTCGTACCACTTTCCGCTCATCCTTCGAAGCCACGTGCCTCGTTTCTTCTGGCCAAAGAAAGAGTTCCAGTAACACAACCCGTTGAACTGTAACCACTCTCTCATTTGCGATCCAGTGTGCGTGTCCGCCTCTAATCCAAACCTACCAGTTGCGCTCTCCTCTTCGTCTTCCTCTTGTGTCCTCCCGCCAATCTGCGCGTTGAAGTCTCCTCCCAATAAGAGGAAGCTTCTCGTTGGTACTGTAGAGACTACACCCTCAAGATCCTGCCAGAACAGCCGTCTTTGCTCTTTATCCCTCCTCCGTGACGTCGGTGCGTACGCAGATACTATGGTCCAATCTCCAAATGTGACATTGCTAATTCGGTTTGAGTGGCTGCACGTGCTTCCGTCTAATCGCCATCTCGTCGACCATTCGGGGTTAAGCAAAATGCCTGTCTTCCGGCCATGAATGAATGTCCAGTCGTCGATTTCCAAGTGTCCGTTGCATTCTGCATTGCTGTCTGTCACCATCACCACTGTCCATCCGTTTTCCTGGCTTCTTTTGACCAACGTTTTCAGCTTTGACTGATTCCCATTCACGCTCATGGCCTGTACGTTCCAGGTTGCTACCCGTACTTCCTTTTCGGCCTGCCAGCATGGCCTGCTCCATCTCAGGCTCTTTTGGTGGGCTATCATCGCGGCTTTTCGTCCCTTGCTCTTCTGTTGTGCCCTCTTTGAGTCCACTTTCTCTCTTCTCCTCTCCGTTCTTGCTGTTCCCCTCCGGAAGAACCAAGCATCGCCCCCTGGTTCCCTCTTGTCGCACCTCCGTCTGGTTCCCCTTTCCCCTCCCCCGTGACATTGGCCTCTATGGATTTTAGGTCTCCGGCAGGTCAGCCATGCCCGCTTCAGACCACTCTTTAAGCCAGATGAAGGAAGATTCCAACGGTCATCAGAATTTCTGCCCCTCACTGTGTTGCTCATTGAGTTTGTGTTGTACAGGAAGCTGCTGAGACAGCTTGCCCCATCAGGGGCTCCTTTTGCCGAGAACAGGTCTTCAGTATGCTCAAGTGTGAGCCTCATACCTCGCCCTCGTTTCCACTGGCCGCCCGCTTGGAGGACTTCAACACAATGGCCAGTTTCTTATCCAAGTTTTTTCTATGTCCAAGTTTTTTCGCTTGAGGGCTTGCCTTACCTCAAAGTTCTTTTGTCGGGAACTGTTTCAAACTATCAAAACTACTTAAATACGTCAAAATTCAATAGACTTTTTTTGCGAATAGATTCAAACAATCAAAGGTAATTGAAGTGTGTGACAGCTTTTCAAAAACATATTTTTTCTGCAACCTGTTCAGGCTATCAAAGCAAATCCAAACATGTCAATTTTTCATTGCCTGAAAAGATTGTATAAAAAATAAGGCTGTCGAAAATCCTTTTTGGTGAACTGTAAAATATTTCCGCAATTGTTAATGTTATTCAAACTTTTTGAATTCATTTGAGTTTGACTTCATTTGCAAATAACATGTATGCAAAATTTACAGTTGATGAAAAAGTTTTGACAAAAATAATAATCTTTGTAATAAGAATGAATAAGAATAATAAGAATGAATGACCATAAAAATAGGTTGACCGCGCTAATTTTTTCTAAAATTCATCCGCAAAAATTCTCGAAATCGTCAATTGTTCTTTTTGTTTATTTTTCTTTTTTTTTCTGTTACTCAATTTAGCTTTCCCTTGCGATTAGCAAGGGTATTGCAATCGGGTTCTAGACTTCTTCTCGTAACTGTGTTCACAAAATGGGCAAAATTACACATAGTAAATTTACTCATGTACCAACTATATAGAGGTAGTACTTGTCTTTTCTCTGGGAAAGCCTGCAAAAGACAGATTTCGAGCATGTTTGTATTTTAAACATCCCGTCTATTGGAAATTTGATTTTTATGTCGGTTGTACTACAACTCGAATTTAAAATACATAAGTTTCCTTTTTTCCGGCTGGATGGGTTTCAGGCTGTTTTACATTGGCTTAGTCGCCTCATATTTCGTCTTTTGATAGCCGAAAACTTTTTATGTGGTGATATGTACTTGTTTTGAGAAATAGGGGGACTTAATAACTTTTTGGTTTTTGAGTCTTTGAATTATTTTTTTTGGCTTGGAGGGTTTCTGCTGAGGAGTTTTCGATTTTGTTCCAGCTTAGTAAGTTTTTTCCGATGCTGCTTCCAAACTCTATTGTGTTGGCATGTTGTGTTTGATTTTTTTTTGGTTTGGAGGGTTTCTGCTGAGGTGTTTTCGATTTTGCTACAGCTTAGATTTTGTTCCAGTATGTTTTTTTTTCAAAATAACTTTCTTCATTTTGATAAATTTACATTTTCAAAATTTTCCATTTTTTTTACCAAGCGTCTTCCTTGTGTTGTCGCAAAAATTGCGAGGCTCTGCTTCGCCTGTTTACTACAATTTATGTGACAAGGTGGTTGAAAACATATTTCTGACCATGAAGCTGACGTGTTCAAAGCTTGTTCAGTGCTGACTTGTTGAAGGCTAATTCATAATAACGATACGAAGCTTCGTGTTTGGCTTTTCAACGGTGTTTAAGGTTTTTTGCTCTGAAAAGTTGCCTGGCTGATCGTTGTTGCACAAAAGCATTTTGAAGTTGTTGCCTCATAGTTTTATACCCTTGCGATGAGGTACTATCAGTAGCGGATTAAGGGAAGGAGGGCGACCCCCCCCCCCTCCCTCAGGGATTCGGCCTCCTGCCGACCCATAGAGTCCCCCTTTGTACTATTTTAAGATATCCATTTTTGCCTGACTGACCTGAAAATTTTTCTAAAGGAGCCTTTGGCGCCAATCTCTTCTTTTCTATTTTTTTTAAAACTTGCCTGCGGCGCCAAAAAGTTGGTCAAATTAGAGTCTTAATAATGGTTTGTGAGAGCTCAGAAAATCAATTTGGTCGACCTAAAAAAAAGGTCAACAAAATTTTCAATTTTTTTTTGAAAACCCGCCCCCTTCAGAAATTCCTAGATCCGCGCTTGGGTACTATACTTTTCCCAATATCAACTCTGCATGCCGAAATCGCGGATGTTTCTCAGTGCTAACTTATTCAATTTTTTGAAAATTAAATTTTTTATCACCAGTTGTTATTTGAGATTGCTATTGGCAGCATATCGACAAGCATAAAATACGACTAGCATAAAAGTTTCGAACGTGAAAATTGTTCAGAAGGTTTTTTTGGCTTAAATGGATTCGGGTTATGTGATTATGAATTAGTCACCTGATAATGCGTCAATTAAAGGGGAAACAGATTATTATGCTTCCAATTTCTTAACTTTGTTTCGGTTCAACAGACGACCAAGTACCGCACGGTAGATTTTTCTGGTTTTTAATAGCGCTGGCTGTTGTCGGTTGTGTTTCTCGTTATATTTTCCTCAATATAATATTCCTCCTAAATTATGTTTTCTATTTTGCAATGCTATGTTGGCAGTGTTTTGCTAACGGTGCGAAGCACCTAAAAATTCGACTACACTAAAAATTGCAGTGAGGTTGTAAGAATTTGGAACAAAAAATTATATTAATAAAGAGCAAATTACCTATTTCAGAATAATTTTGCATGCAAAAGCTAAATTTAAGACAGAAAGTGTTTCAAGGTCACCTGAAAATTCAAGTTTGCATGAAAAAATAGTTCAAAAATGGCAGGTTGCACTTTTTAATTAATTTTGCCGATTCCAAATTTTGAACATTTATTCAAGTGGTCATTAATATATTGACATTGACTTACAAATTAAGTTGTCTATCGGTTTCCTTTTCAACTACATTTCAAAATTTTTAAAAACGTAAGAAAATCGTTACTTTTGCTATACTTTATAATTTTACCGAACAACCGCATGTAGCAAGGTCGCCTGTAACACGAAGTTTGCTAGAAAATTTTTGCCAAGATTCGCGCTAGCTCTAGTTGGAGATGATCTTTTAGCACCTTTTAGCTTAATATTGTTAGTAAGATGAACAGAATCTTCTAGTTATCAATTCCATTGGAGGGTTGTATTTTGTTTTGCTGTATTTTGTTTTGATTTTTTTCAGTGATGAGGGATAATTTGTCTCACGCAAATGAAAAAAACTTAGTTCACGGAATACAAATTGAAAAACCATCATGTTTATAAAAATGCACCGTTTCTTGTCGGAAATTGAATCTGAGTAGGTGAACTGAATTTTGAAAGTGAGGTCCGTTCATTCCTGAATTTGTGCTTTTGAGAGCCGAACTGGCGTGATTAAGTAAATGGTAAGAGTGTTGTTATTTTTAAACGTCGGAATGTAAGTTCACGCCGCACCTTATGATTTCGACGGCTAATAACCGCGAATACGAAATCTCGGCAAATCAGAGTCTAACATGTATGGTTTTGTTCACGCTCTTCCGAACTTGGTACTCTTTCGTCAGCTGATAAGAATGTGACCTATTGGTCTGAACAAGATCAGCGTTATATGCAAGTTGAGCTGGTATAAATTTCTCTTCTAGCTAATTCCTTAGCTCTCGTTTATTTTTAAAAGGCACATTGAACAAGAAAAGTGCAACGTGTACCATGACGTCGTTGTGACGTAAATAGATTTGATTTGTTTGTTTGTTGCAAATAGTCTATAGCCGAGAAATCGTACCATAATTTACCAGATTTCAATACAATACAGTTTGTTAACTCAAAGCATAAAATTTAACTTGCTAGTTCGCATTTTATTCTTCGCCACGCTAAACAGAAGGTTAGCTTGACTTTTGTTCATTTCTGAGTTGACTTTTGTTTTGAATAGAAGAAATCAGCGCTTGATTGAATTGGCGGTTCTTGTTTCATGAAAATTAGTCGTTCTCTCGTTTTCAGAAGTGAATTGAAAACTCATTCATCAACCAAACATGCAGATCTTTGTCAAAACCCTCACCGGAAAAACCATCACTCTCGAAGTTGAGGCTTCGGACACCATCGATAACGTCAAGGCCAAGATCCAGGACAAAGAAGGCATCCCTCCTGACCAGCAGCGACTCATCTTCGCTGGCAAACAGCTGGAAGATGGTAAGTTTCATGGTCGACAAAAACAAGAATGCAATTTTTTTGAAATGAGGACGTCTGTTCATGAAATGTTTTTTTTTAATAGGTCGAACACTCTCGGATTATAACATCCAGAAAGAGTCTACCTTACACTTGGTCCTGAGATTGAGAGGTGGTATGCAAATATTTGTGAAAACTTTGACTGGAAAGACCATCACGTTGGAGGTGGAACCATCGGATACTATTGACAACGTGAAGGCTAAGATCCAAGACAAAGAGGGAATTCCCCCAGACCAACAGCGACTGATCTTCGCTGGAAAACAGCTGGAAGATGGTAAGTCCAGTTACCAGTAGTACTTGTAATTGAAAGTTTTGAAATAATTTTATCCGTTCTGATTTTCGATATTTAGGCTTCATACTTAACCTTGTAAGCTCCTCGTTACACCAAATTCATTCTTATGTCGGTTGGGAGGGAAAAGGAAAAAGAGCCCGTGATAAGAATAACTTCATACTTGGAGTGATACTTAGATGGTTTGTCATCGCCTTTAATTTTTAACGAGGCTTAAGGAACGTTTAACGAGGTTTTGTAAACAGTCGAGGACTAGAGGTGTGAAAAAAGTGTAAAAGATAACGGCTTTCAACATACGATACGTATAAATAGTGCATTTTAGGTCGAACTTTGTCTGACTACAACATCCAGAAAGAAAGTACCCTGCACTTGGTTCTGCGATTGAGAGGTGGTATGCAAATCTTCGTGAAAACTCTAACTGGTAAAACAATTACACTTGAGGTGGAACCATCGGATACTATTGACAACGTGAAGGCTAAGATCCAAGACAAGGAAGGGATCCCACCTGATCAGCAGCGACTCATCTTCGCAGGAAAGCAGCTTGAGGATGGTATGTATTATCCTTTTTAATGTCTAGGACTTGATAAGATAAAGCTTTCCCCTCTAGTTCTAATTTCTAGGTAGGAGAAAAGATTGAAAGATCAGAAGAAATTTAGTCGAATGCTAAGAGATTCAGGAAGAGGTGCAAATCTTTAGTCGGATATGAGATGAGCGCCATTTTTGATTGGGAGGTGGCATAATTGATGCGAACTTTAGTAAGCCTGATTGGTCTGTTGGTCAATGTTAATGACGTCAAGAATGAGCGATTAGGGAGGGAAATGAGTCTTAAACATGAATTCGGTGTACTATTTGTCTTAACGTTTTGCGTTTAAGGACGAACCCTTTCGGATTACAACATTCAGAAAGAATCAACGCTGCACCTTGTCTTGAGACTGAGAGGAGGAATGCAAATTTTTGTCAAGACTTTGACCGGCAAGACCAACACCCTGGAAGTTGAGCCTTCGGATACGATTGACAACGTGAAGGCTAAGATCCAGGACAAGGAAGGAATCCCACCAGATCAGCAGAGGTTGATCTTTGCGGGAAAGCAACTTGAGGATGGTAAGCATCGTAGATTTTCATAAGATCTCAAAGAGCTCTGCTTTAGTCCTTAAAAAAAAATTGGTTAATTTGTAGGTGAAAAAAACGCGAGCCTCATAAAAATTATACTGTTATTTTCACGAGGTTGAAATGGCTTTAGGTCGAACCCTCTCGGATTACAACATCCAAAAAGAGTCTACTTTGCATCTGGTTCTCCGACTGAGAGGTGGTATGCAAATATTTGTGAAAACGTTGACTGGAAAGACCATCACGTTAGAGGTGGAACCATCGGATACTATTGACAACGTGAAGGCTAAGATCCAAGACAAGGAAGGCATCCCACCTGATCAGCAGCGACTCATCTTTGCTGGAAAGCAGCTTGAGGATGGTAAGATGTCTAAACCTTTTTCAAAAATTATTAGCTGGTATAGAAAGAGATTAGTCAAAAATTATTAGCTGGTATAGAAAGAGATTAAAAAAACTAGTCTAAAAAATTTGATTTGAAAAATTGTTGACTTTAATTTGTTCAGGTCGAACCCTCTCGGATTACAACATCCAAAAGGAGTCGACATTGCACCTGGTTCTCCGACTGAGAGGTGGTATGCAAATATTTGTTAAAACTTTGACTGGAAAGACCATCACATTAGAGGTGGAACCATCGGATACTATTGACAACGTGAAGGCTAAGATTCAGGATAAAGAAGGCATCCCTCCCGACCAGCAGCGTCTCATCTTCGCTGGAAAGCAGCTTGAGGATGGTAAGATGCGTAATTTTCAAAGGTTTTAATTTAAAACAGTTATTGGAAATAGCAAGTTAGTTTTTTTTTCGAAATACTTTGAACTTGTCATGCTATTTTTCACAAACCGTTTTGAAAACTGCAAACTATTTCAGGGCGAACTCTTTCGGACTACAACATTCAGAAAGAGTCTACGTTGCACTTGGTTTTGCGATTGAGAGGTGGAATGCAAATTTTCGTGAAAACTTTGACTGGAAAGACCATCACGTTGGAGGTGGAACCATCTGATACTATTGACAACGTGAAGGCTAAGATTCAGGATAAAGAGGGCATCCCTCCCGACCAGCAGCGTCTCATATTTGCTGGAAAGCAGCTTGAGGATGGTAAGAAGCGTAATTTTTAAAGATTCGCAATTAAAACGAATATTGGAAATAGCAAATTAGTTTTTTCGAAATACTTAACTTATTTTCACAAACCGTTTTGAAAAGCTCAAACTATTTCAGGACGAACTCTTTCGGACTACAACATTCAGAAAGAGTCTACGCTGCACTTGGTTTTGCGATTGAGAGGTGGAATGCAAATTTTCGTGAAAACTTTGACTGGAAAGACCATCACGTTGGAGGTGGAACCCTCGGATACTATTGACAACGTGAAGGCTAAGATCCAAGACAAGGAAGGGATCCCACCTGATCAGCAGCGATTGATCTTCGCTGGAAAACAACTGGAAGATGGTACGTTGGCATCTGTTTAAAATAGTTTTTATAAAGCTACATGTCATTGAGGTAATTATCCGAAAATAGGTATCAGTTGTACAAATACAATTATTCAAGAAACTGTTATTTCACTTATGCAATTTGGATATTGTTTTTGTTGAAGGACGTACTCTTTCTGACTACAACATTCAGAAGGAATCGACTCTCCATCTGGTCCTGCGTCTGCGAGGAGGATTTTAAACACACATTGCACTAAGGAAAAGGGAAAGATGGGAGATGGGCGTGTTTTTAGATATAGTCTCTTAATCGTTGCATGTTGGCTGAATAGTGCAAAACTACGTTATTATTACACTTGTTAGAGTGAATTTTATTATGTTGATGCAGTACTCGTGTTTGTCGATTTCATCTGAGTAGTACTCATGTTTTAACATCATAGGGATTGACTCAATAAAAATTAGTAAAAACAATTCTTTTTGTGAAACTTTCAAGTTAAAGATTTCCAAACGAAGACAAGAGGATAAAGGATGACTAAGGTTGTGTAGTGAATATGCATGAGTTGTAAAATAGAAGCTGAGGCAACACGGGTAAAATAGAAGCTGAGGCAACACGGATACCAGACATTCGGACAGGAAAAAAACGGAGTAAATGTTAATTGAAATGAAGCCAAGAATGCGAGCCATAGATACGAAATCAAATCAAGAAAAATAGGCTGTTGCTGTTTATGTTGTACCTAATGTTCCGATCATTGATAAGAAGTCTTCAATTTTTTCTTATAATTCCGAAATTTGTTCCCAGAAAGTCTTGAATAGTGAAAAAAAATCCGGATCTACTTAAGAATCTCCCCCCTTTCAAGAAATAGTTTTCAATGTTTCCGAAATCTTAACAAGAATACGACTCTTGTAAAAATGTTTTTACATTAGCGATCAGTGTTGTATTTCATTACGAACCTCTTTTTTTTTACTAACCTAACTCGCAATAGAAGTGTGCATTGAAAGTGAAAAGGCTTCTGTTATTTTGTTTCACTTTTGCTGTTATCACTATCTGGCATTGCAAGTTTTATGGCATCTGTTCTCTGCTTTATTTGTGCCTGGACTTTGTGATGTTACAATCGTGCGTGGTTGATTGCTTATTGAGTGAGACTCGAATGCTCTAGGTCGCAGATCGAATCCGAGCACTTGGTCGAATTTTTACTAATTCGAGGTTCATTATTACTTATATTGCGCTTCATAGAGCTGCTTTTTGTGTTCGCGCAAGTGTTTGCGAAGCGATGCTTAGCCTCTGTGTAAATAGAAGGGCAACTCGTATTACTGGGGTAGCTGGAACATGTTTTTGATCATCTGTTAGGAAGAAATTTTGTCGTACCACCCGTCAGAATTCTTGAAAACGAATGTTTCTCAGATCAATTTCCAGTTCTTTTGCAGCTCAAATTGAAACAATTCAATCTGATTTATTCCTCATTTCGTGACATGTCCTTCTTGAATAACGAGAAACGTACTGACGGTTTTTTAGTCCTTTTGAAGCAAACGCTGGAGAGATCTAATTTAGTCGAAGAGCCAGAAACCAATGTAGCATATAATAAATTTAGTGATTGCTTCATATCAACTTTAAATAAGTCCTGAAATCTTGATTCAAATAGTTTTTTGAAGAAAAACAACCTCTTAAATAAAAGGAAACAGGTCGAGTTCCTGATAACAACATTCGCTCACATAACTTTTTTTGGGCTTACAATGTTCCATGTGAGCGGTTTGTCCGTTCTTGCTCGGCATTGTCCGTCCGCAATTTCAATAATGTTGAAGTCCGCATATCGTTTGATGCTTCTTTGCAGCTTGAAAATATTTCTGTACTAGTCCACATCTAGGGCACGTAAGTGAAATCGCTTGCGGAGCTTTTACTGTGCGCAGTGTTGTAACAGTCATGGCTGCTATTTCTGCGCTAGTATTTTTAGTTAGCTAGTTTTTTGGTCGTTCAAGGTCTGTTTCACTGGAATCGGTCACTGCTTTTTTGCCCCTTCACCATGAATTTCATTTATGTGCGCGCCAGAGTGCAGTGGTTTTTTTTAGGGTTATATCCGGCACCCGTATTCAAAGTTAGCATCGTTTGCAACAACCAACTGGCTTAGTTGCTGGTTCTGATTATACTTTTTCATTTTGCAGCACCTTGCAAGATGGATTTTCACTCGCACTGCATTCTTGAGGTTTTTCTTGCATTTTAGGCACTGCGTTTTTGCGTCATGTTGAGTCATTGGCAGTTATTAGTTGAAATAGTTGTTTTTTTTTGGGAAGTATCTTACAAGATGAATTTTAAGTTCTACTGCTTTCACCAGTATTCTCTTGTACCTTTATCTAGAGCATTGCGAGTAATTGTTGGTTTCTTAGTTCTCTTGTTTTTTTTCTAGGCGTTCTGTAAAAATGTTTTCTAAGGGATATTGCTGTTTCAAAACGTTTTGTTTTCAGGCCAAGAGGGTTGATTAAGAGTAATGTACGTTGTTCTTTTTGTTAAGAAAATATTGATGCTTTTAGGTATAAATGCGCTTTTTGAGTTCAATTGAAATTCATCTGCTGAAAGTTAAGCACTCCAAATACTAGCGTGGAAATGGTGCAAAAAATGTGAACGATTTCTAGTTTCGAAAGTTAGCGAAGTCAAAACTTTACCTGTTGACCCAGTTTTCTCAAATTGGTTTAAAATTATCAAAAAAGCGCCAATCATAAATCGTTCTAGAAATTCAAAGAGCTTAAAAGGCATCTGTTTTTTTTTCTTTGAAATTCGAAAGTAGAGATTTTTCAACAAATTCAAGAGTTTTCTATGTCTACTTGCGTTTATTGCTCTTTTCCAGCCTTCGATTGGCTATGTTTGGTTTTAGGCGTTCAAATCAGAATTGGCGCAGCCGCTTGTGCTGATTTCTGTTGAAAAATTTTGTTGAGACTTCTACTGTAAAAGGAGAACGCTTCCAATGCAATTCAAGAAGAGCCTTCCTTTCAACCTGTAAGGTAGCTTGAACTACCAGATCCCTTAAAGTTTTCCAAACGCTCCCTTAGCTTTACTGATGAATTCCTCAGTGTATTCTTTGCACCCAAACCTTGAGCTCGCTTCGTTTCCTATGAAACATCCGATATATATGAAGCTTTATTTTTTCCTTAAACATTCGTCTTTGTCTATGGGGACTTTTGCTATTTAAAAGGCGGGATACGAATCCACTCTGTTTTTGTTTGGACAATCTCTCCTGCGAAGGCTGAGATGATTTCGTATAAAATGGAAGTGCTGACTCTTCCAGTGATATCCTGGTCCGGTCCATCGTCCTTGTATCTTTCCTATGTTCCAGATCGAACCTCAACCTGATTTTCCTCTTGAGACTGACAAGCTTCGGTCGCTGCCTGATATAATGGTCCCATTTATATTCGCCTGTGACTCCACTCTCTGTGCTTGCTTCTCTTCCTCCGCTCCAAATTAGCAGCACGAAGGAGAAATAGAAGCTCCATAGGATTGGTCCATACCAACAGCATAGGATTGGTCCATACTTGCCGGACTCTGGTGGACATGGAGAACCTTTCTCCTAATTTTCTCTTGTAGCTAAGTTTTGCTCCAAAGCCTTTGTGAAAGTCTCTAATCAAGGCTACAACATTTTCCGGTACACCGTATTTGGCGAGGAGTTGGAAGATCATTTTAGTCACAAGCATGGAATGCTTTCCATAAACAGAAATTATAGTTCTTTGTATCCAACTTCTGGTGTGGCCAATCCGAACTCCTCTGCTAGCCATCTGATTATGTAGAAACGAGCTCTTCAGTTAGTCAAAATCTGAAAATAATTGCTAAATTATAATATTTTAAAATGTTTCCGATATCTGTTAACAAGAAGACGATTCTTGTAAAATGTTTTTACACTATCGATCAGTGTACGAACATCTTTTTTTCTAAGCTAACTCGCAAATAAAAGTGCTCATTGAAAATGAAAAGTTTTCTCTTATTTTGTGGCACTTTTGTTGTAATCACTATCTGGCATTGGAAGTTTCATGGCATCTGTTCTGCTTTATTTGTGGCTGGAATTTGTGATGTAATAAGCGTGCGTGGCTGATTGCTTAGTGGGCTAGACTCGAATTCTCTAGGTCGCAGATCGAAACCAATCCCTGGTCGATTTTTTACTAATTCGAGGTTTATTTCTAGTTATATTGCGCTTCAGAGCTGCTTTTTGTGTTCGCGCTAGTGTTTGCGAAGCGATGCTTAGCCTCAGTGTAAATTTTGTGTCCTCTCTGAGGCAGTTTGTTTGGTATTGTGAGTTAACGTGCAGTCAAGGTTCACCCGAATCATAAGATTTCGACATAATAAACTGAAGCAAATATTATTTGAATAAATAATAATTTATAAATATTGATTTAAGATGAATATTTATTATTAGTAATTTAACATAATTTAAGATAAATAACATGAAGTTTAATTGTGATGTTGTGATTGAGTTTGTGTGATTGAGTTTGTCTGCTTATTTTTATGCTCGAATGTTGAACAGAACTTATTGAAAGCTACAATAGGAGAGACAACATGTAAGTTCTAGAAATCCCTGAAGAAGCAAACGATGGTAGACGCGAAACAATGGAGGCAACTATCAAAAAAGTTTTGCATGTAGCTAATAATATTGATGCTCAGATTTCGGAACAAGACATCAATAGCGCATAGGTTACCTTCGCGACTGGCTAGAGTCAAACCGATCATTTTTCGATTTGCTAGGCGAGTGAAAAAAAATCCATTTTCAGAGGAAAAAAGAACTTGGCTCATCCGATGTCTATCAAAATGTGAAAATATTCGAAGATATTAGTTCAGCTCGAGCAACTTTTTTGCGGATGATGAAAGCAGATGCGCGCATTCAATCAGCATGAGAAGGCTCTGTCTTTTACATATGGAAAAATGATGAAAAGTTATGCAAAATTACTGGTTTATATGAAGGAGGTGATACTCTGGGTTATAATGTAATTGATGTAATGAATTGTTTCAATGGTGTTTTTCCATACAACTCCGACCAAGTGGGCTCATAAATCTAAACTCATCAACTTATCTGAAAATAGAGGTGCAAATAGTCTTAAAGTTTTATAGTCCAATGTTAGATCTGTTAAAAACATCGTGAAGATCTAGAAGAACTTCTGAATCTCGAGTGTCCAATTAATGTACTGTGTTTAACCGAAACTTGGCTAAATGAAACAGATGAAGTAACTATGTTTGCAATCGAAGGATTTCATACAATTGTACATGCAACAACCGAAAAATTAGAGGTGGATATACTATGATGCAACTAGGTGGAAACGTAAACTTGATAGAACAGCTACATACTAATCTATCTGAATCAGTAGCAGTGCTTGTTGAAGCATTCGGGAATAAAATAACCATGATAGTCGCATATGTACCTCCTAGATATGATAAAAAACAGTTTGTCAATGAGTTAGACAACGAATTGGAGATACTGAGTAAATACAAAATACTGGTA